CCCCCCCCTCCCCGCCCGATGCTCCCTCGCCCTGTCCGTCGGCCTTGGCGGTCATGTGTAGTACTCCACATCCTCCAATCCTCCTACACTGATGACTACCCATCCCCGTTGTCGCCAATAGCAGACGTGTTGGGAGGTGTCTCGTTATCCAGCGGATCAAGAGCCATCTCTGCGTTGAGGAGATCTTCGTTTGTTCCCTTGAATTTCGCAGGGAGACACTCCCTGATGCTCTTCGCGTCGATGTTGGGGATGTCGTACGCGGGAACACACTGGAAGTTTGCTCTGAGGAACAGCACCAAGAAGATGACGTCACCAACACGCCCTTCGGTGGATTTCGGGTAGATACCGGGTAGATACGGGCAGTCGTACGACCCCTACCGTCCAGTATCGACACCCGTACTAACGCGTGCAGTACGTTTATTCCAGTATTGAAGTCCGTACTAAAGCAGCCAGTACAGAGTACAGTATCGAAAGCTGTACTTTCGATACAAAGTACTGAAACTTTTATTTCAGTATCGAGAGCTGTACTAAAAGTACTGAAACTTTTATTCCAGTATCGAGAGCTGTACAAAAACAGCCAGTACATTCCAGTATCGAGAGCTGTACTAAAAGTACTGAAACTTTTATTCCAGTATCGAGAGCTGTACAAAAACAGCCAGTACATTCCAGTATCGAGAGCTGTACTAAAAGTACTGAAACTTTTATTCCAGTATCGAGAGCTGTACAAAAACAGCCAGTACATTCCAGTATCGAGAGCTGTACTAAAACAGCCAGTACATTCAAGTATCAATAGCCGTACTAAGCGTGCAGTTTATTCCAGTATCGGTACTAAAAGTACTGAAACTTTTTTTCCAGGATCGAAAGCTGTACTAAACGTACTGAAACTTTTATTTCAATATCGAGAGCTGTACTAAAACAGCCAGTACATTCCAGTATCGGGAGCTGTACTAAAACAGCCAGTACATTCCAGCATCGAGAGCTGTACTAAAACAGCCAGTACATTCAAGCATCAAGAGCCGTACTAAGCGTGCAGTTTATTCCGGTATCGAGAGCTGTACTAAAAGTAGTGAAACTTTTATTTCAGTATCGAGAGCTGTACTAAAACAG